CTTTGAAAACCTTTGATCTAGATCAGGGGTCACCAAACTTTTCACAGTGGGCGGATAACTGAAAGAATGACGAGCGCGGGCCGCATAATCATTCTGTTCAATACTTGCAAGCCAGAACAGCTCTGGGAAAAAGACGAAAAACTAAGTTTAGCATTCCATGTTAATCATGGGTGAGTGGCGTGCAATGCACAAAACACAAGACAACCAACATATTTATTTACAACGTCTCGTGTTCCATACGTTTTATCAAGCAAATTCAAGTACCGTCGGCGGGCCTGATGAACTGACGTCGCGGGCCGGATCCAGCCAGCCGGCCGTAGTTAGGTGACCCCTGATCTCGATGTATGATAGTTATTTAGTGGGTCCCTTATTTTGACCTGACCTGACTAGTACGTCACCCCCTTCTCTTAAGCTCCTCTACGTGTGTGTTGGTCTGGGGACTAGTGGATGACATCATTATGACCTGACCTCATGTTTTTAAGGTCACCCTGTATATTTAAGCCTCTCTCTGTCCATGTAATCCAGTTGTCTCTGAAGATGTCTTGAATAAAGACGAAACTAAGGTGCTCCGTTGTTTCCCTCTTCCCGTGTGATTTTATCAAGATATATATATATATATATATATATATATATATATATATATATATATATATATATATATATATATATATATATATATATATATATATATATATATATATATATATATATATATATATATATATTATTCGACCGTGTCGTATTTTTCAAATGTTAGTTATGTTACGACCGTGTCATATTTTTCTATTTTTTTATATATAACATGCTTCCATGTTGCTCCATATTATTCCTGTAATGATGTGTTATATTTACTATTATATAATCTAGTCACCTTACCCTGTGCTGTTAAGGTTTTAACTGTTATTATTCGTTCAAGCCCATCTTATTTCTTCATTTAGTATTGTAACAAGCATTCTTTGTTCTCTAACGACCATCTGCATCGTTAACGACCCGCTTGGTTGCTGAGGCGGAAAAGGCCATATATATATAGTAGTCCACCAACTGACGGAAGGTAGTTCAGTCCTCTTGTCATACAGTTCACATCCTTTAGTGACACTCTTCACCTGTTACTTATACTTAATTTATTTGTGTTGTTCCTGTCGCCACCAATGTGGTATATCTATGTGAGTACCTATTTATGTCTCTATTTATGTCCATCAGTATTTGCTTAGTTACATTTAAGTAATTCAGTGTTGTTTCAAGTTAGTTAATTTCAGTGTTAGTTTTTATATGTTTATGCAGTGTTAACGTAATCCAATGCTTTATTTTTATTCTTTTGATGTTTCGATGTTTAGTATCATTTGTGTCTTAAAAGTTTCAGTGGCGAATCAATTTGTTGTGACAGCCTACGAAGCTCTTTATTGTGTTAATATTTAATTAATTAAATTCTTAAAAGTTTACTTTATATATTTTTATTCCCTTTTAATTAACTTCACTTTTTTTGTTTGGTTACGCCTAGAACCTGGATATTTAAGTAAATTAAGAGACGGCGTAACAATGTTTACATAAGTTTATGAGGATCCATATATATTTCATTAGCCCAATAAAGCAAGCCATGGGTTCGAATCCTGGCGGGTTGAAGTGTTGAATGTATTTAGAAGTCCGAGTGCTTTATTGGGCTAATGAAATATATATGGATCCTCGTGTTTTGAAGCCGGATTTGATAAAACGTTACGTTGACCACCTACGTGAAACGGGTAGTCCCAATTAGAGGTTCACGGCGCCATAAGTTCGTTGAACAGGCTTTGTGTGAAATATAACAGAATCTAGGACTGCTTTTAGTATCTGGTGGTCCAGGGGTAGCGGTCCCCGGTCACAATCATGGGCTCGTGGGCCGTCGGTTCGAATCCTGGCGGGTTGAGGTGTTGATTGTATATATATATATATATATATATATAAAATAAATTATTAAATATTAAAGTGATAACCGTGGTAACATTATGAGATGTTCTTGTTACCACCATGCTATTGTACTATTCCAGATGATACTAAATGTTCATAATACTTCCTTGAGATAAATGTATAGTATATATCAGGTGCCTAAAAGAGAGCTCAGGTTCTCAACTGGCTCAGCCATGTTAATATTGTTATCATTGTCCACTCTGTATCTGTGTTTTCTGGCTAAATAAACTGCTTCAATTCAATTCAATTCAATGTATTACTGCTGGGTCCCCAGACGCTTAGTATTAAAACCTCTTCTGGAGGCTTGCTGCCTTCGCCGTTTTGGGGTGACGTGAAGTGTGAGCTTGGCTCTGACATGTCGATGATCAGTGTCACAGTGGCCTGAGCTACGCATCTGATCTTTGTGCTCATATTTTCCGAAATTATTTTCACTTGCTGAGTGTTCTGTTTGGCTCAAATCCTAGAGCTCTCAAGGCATGGGCGATGTCCCGTCATGCTCCTACGACTTTCTTGCCTTCACTGAGGTCATCCTGCCATTCATTACCTAGAAAAGATCAAAGTGACAGTCACGATTATTTTGAGTAAAATAAGGCTATAGGGCGAGAAGGAAATCCTTGTCGGATCTCAGCCGTCGGCTGTCACCGTAAGCAAATCAGTATCGTTTGGATGTGTTGGGTGTGACTTTGTAGTCACAATTATATATTTTCTGCTGTATTTTAAATCCCCTAACTTGTTTGTTTTAATGATCGAAGGAATAAAAATATGTAAAACTGATAATTATCAAAACAGTAACATAAAACACTTTCAGAAGGCTGGCTACAAGTCCAATTTTGCCAGTCCGAACACAGACACTGTCGCAGGGATACCAACACCAGCCTAAGCAGCGACCTACATAGCTACATAGGATCCATCAGCTGGGAGTTTAGGGTCCTTGATTTGGCGTCTAATGATAACAAAAACATTTTATGTATCTCTTTAAGGTTGAAATGAGTAGCCCAGGTTTTTATTTCTTTGGGGAGGATGAAGTAGGCCACCGGCACAGGTCACTGACCCACGTCGATGCCTGCAGGGGGGTGGGGGCGAAAATTTAATAATAATTCATAGTAAATAAAATTTATAATAAAAAATACAAAATTGAAAATAATATAATACAACAATAATGATAATTCAACACTGAAATAATAATAATAATAATAATAATAATAATAATAAAAATAATAATAATAATAATAATAATAATAATAATAATAATAATAATAATAATAATAATAATAATAATAATAATAATAAAGAAATATAAAAATGAAAAAAAATAGATCAATAGTGAGAAACAATATATGTATGCTGTGTTGTCAATAGTACGAGCAGTGCCGGATTTAGACCTGTGGAGGCCCATGGGCAGCCTCTTTGTGGAGGCCCCCCTCATTATAACTACCCAAGAGGTGGGTGGCGAGTGAAGCGAGCCTAAACATCTGGGAGTTCCGGGGGGCGCTGTAAGCCCACCGGGAAAATGTTGAAATTTGAACACTTCTTTGGAGAATTTTGAAGTCATATGCAGTTATATGGAGGAAATTAGAACATTGAGAAATTTTTGATTAACTGTATTTTTATTGATAGTGTACAAATTCCCAACACACACACACACACACAAAAGTGTGTGTGTGCGTGTTGGGAATTTGTACACATGAATTTTAAGGAATGAAAATAAAAATAATCCAAATGAATAAACAAATAAATATAATATTGTAATATGTGAGGCCCCAGATTGTGGAGGCCCCTGGGCAGCTGCCCACTTTGCCCACTCCTGAATCCGGCCCTGAGTACGAGAAACAATTGAGACCCTGCAATTGTGTGTAAATGAGGCAGCAAGTGAGATCAGCAACCTGGGACTTTGGTTACTATTTTTGTGATGCCATATGGCAGCAGGTTCTACCATGAGACAACACGGAATAAAAATACAGTATATCTTTCATATATCAAGGAGTTGATATGAAGAAAAAACACTAACGACAAAAATAGAATACAAATATTAATGATAGACAGAATTAAGACAAGATAGTAAGAGTAAACTAAAACTTAACCTTTTTGTTAGCTAAACTCGAGCTTTGCTTTCCACAACACTGAGCGAGTTGATAGCTGCTGAGGTTGCCAGACGTATGAACGTTTAACATTGGTGAATGGTAACATTGATCCTAGCATGATTATGATGATAATTCCTATTCTTGATGCACAAATGGTTGACAGATTTGAAGCTCCTGTGATGGAAGTTGTAGGTCCCTTGTAATATTAACTTTTAGCAATCCATTGGATTATGATAATGTTTAAATATATATATATATATATATATATATATATATATATATATATATATATATATATATATATATATATTATATATATATATATATGCTTTAAACATTATCTATTAACAAGAAAACACGAAGTTCCCAAACGATATTCCTAGGACTTGATCTCACTCTCCTCAACTGTATATATTAGCCTTGTCATTATTACTCCTTAGTCTGTACTCACCCCTGAAGATGTGAATTACACGAAAGCGCTTGTTTCCTTGTGATTATCAGCATATACTTGGATCACGCGCACCCACAGTGATTTACTTGCATATATATATATATATATATATATATATATATATATATATATATATATATATATATATATATATATATATATATATATATATATATATATATATATATATATACAGTATATACATACACAGAAGCAATACCTCACTGGTCGGGAATCGAACCCTGGACATACAGTAGATCAATCTGCGTGTGAACGATCTTGTCGTTGCGCGGTGGTAGCGACGCTTGAGAGGTCCAAAGTTCGATTCCCGACTAGTGAGGAAATATTTTTTTTTACCTATATTATAACCCATTTAAGCAACAAGGCTATGTAAATGGTTTAGCTACACATACATGAGGGTAGAACTTTATGCATTGTTTATATTCATGACCAGACCTTGCATGCACCTTAGATTCTTGAACTTATTATGTAGATTTACGTATGACAACTTCGTTTAAGGATTCTGGCAACGTTAAATTCTCAGGCATCATGGATGTGCATGCGCAGTAACCGCTTCGTCCGCATCAGTGCCAGTGTTCAATTACGTACAGTAATCGTGTCTTTCTCCTTCTCATGGGTAAGTGCGTCATGAGGCACATAGGGAAAAGAAGCAAACACTTTATAAGTATATACACATGTGTTATGGGAGGTGGTGGATCGTGTGCATATCAGTTTATTTGTAAATAAATTTGCATACAAACAAATTGAGATTATGTTTACAAAGTGAGAGTTGACTCTTTCCCGCAGCAGGTTTGTGCAGGATTCTAGCCAGTAGCAGCTGTGCCCGTATGTCGCCAGCTGTACAGAAGCTTGCTGATGACTACTTCAACTGGCGATTGGCCAACAAGCCTGAGTTTGCTTCCTTTGTGAGTAATGTTTATCTCTGGCAGCTGTGAGAGCCTCCTTTTGTTTTAATTGTTGACTACTTTACGGGTATATTTTAATTTCGGTCATCCGGTGAATCTTAGGGAGGTCCAGGCCCCCGGTTAGGTTAAATATAGGTTACGTTAGAATGGTTTGATTAGGTTAGATTACATTAAGTTAGGTGAGGTTGGTTTGGTTAGGTGAGGTTGGTTTGGTTAGGTTAGGTTGAATATTTAAATACTGGGATGGCCGAAATTATAAATTTACCACTTTATTCTCTGGTGCATGGGTACTGAACAGATATTATAACGGTACCACAAGTTGTATTGCAAGCAACAAACACTTGTTGTGTCAGTAACTTAATCGTCAGGTGATGTGTTTCATGAATACCTAGACACCTTATTTATTTAGATAGTTTTATGCACAAATATGGCAAATGTAATATCAGAGAAGCGTCAAAGGTGGGAATAAAAAGTGTTTGGAGTAGATTTATGGACAGATATAATTGACCCTTCCTTAACTGGACGGTAGTGTGAGTCTTGCTTCATGGTGCAGGTTGGCATTCACGACTATGACGATCAGCTGGACGACATGTCTCTGGAGGCCTACCAAAGCCGCTACGACCAGTGTCAAGTGTTCTTCCATCAGGCAGAGGCTCTGGAGGCCATCGTCACCGACCATGACGACCAGGTCAACATCCGAGCTCTCAAGAACGAGCTGATCACCTACATGGACGGCTTCCCCTACCAAGGGTCAGTTCTACTTTATTATTAGTTAACACACACATTCTGTGGCTCACTACAGCCAAACTTGGCACGCCTCAGGGAGGAGTGTTAAGTCCTATGCTCTTTAATATACTGATGCACAAGCTTATTGCTGACATTCCAGTTCAGCCAAACGGGGCTGTAATATACTATGCTGATGATATCTGCATTATGACAGAACTAAGCTCAGGCTCCAAGCCCTGCTGGATGTATTTGCTCGGAGGACTGTGGTCTCATAATATCTGTTGACAAGACGAGGGTCCTCAATCCTCGTCCTGCTCACCCTCTGCCTCTTGGCTTTAACATTAACAGCATGCCCTTGGAACTATGTAGCTCCTATAAATATCTTGGAATTTGTGTTATACTTGTACTGTACTAACACTAGACCATGGACCTCACTACCAAACACTGTGTTATACAAGTAGTGTACTAACACTGGACCATGGACCACTAGGGTGTGTCATACGGAGGCGAATTTTTTTTTTTTGAGTTTGAAAAATCGGCCCATGGTATTAATGATGTAGTTCTATGTGCAGAATCATGTGATATCTTCAGATTTGAAAAGTTTTCATTTTTTGCTAGGTAAATTTTAACTTGAAATCTTATGAAAATTCAGTATTCCCACCCTTTTACCAACACTAAATAGCTTATTTAAAGTAAAGTAAATGTATCAGGTTAATTTATTAGGATGAAAATGATCCAGAATAGTGAAACGAATGATCTTGACACATTTATTAAATTTAATATTCCTTTAGAAAACAAAATCATCAAATACAAAAACCGGTTTTACTACTACGACCCGGTGTTGCTGCACACCATAGAGAACATGTCTTTCTTGCTTCTGTTTCTACTCATCACCTCCCTGCTGACCACCTGAGCTCGGATGTAGCCTTCCTTCCTCTCCTGGCTGTACACGTGACTGCTGGCCTCGCTCACTTGCTGTACACAACGCTCTATACTCTGGGTGTGCGAGGGGCCAGGCAGGGACATGCATGGGGTTGTCCAGGAAAGCTCTGACTTGAACATTGGTGAGGCTGCAGGTAAGAGGGGGCCCACTGCCAGCCTGGATGTTATCCAGATCTATGAGATCAGTGAGGGTCTTGGCACCTAGATTGACTTCAGGAGTCTTCCTGACCCTGAAGGAATCGTCACCAACTGATTCTTCATGCCCAGATCCTCTCATAAGTCTCAAATCCAAGATCTTTTTGACTGCCACTCTTCTCTCCTCCTCATCCTTACTGCAGAGCATTGTCTGCAGAACTGCCTCGGGATGAGCATACCAGGAAGATCTCCTCACAGTCTGCTCCACAATCTGAACAACCTTCCTTGGCTGACTCCTCAGGAGCTCAAGCTGGAAGAGAACATGCCTCGGACCTTCGGAGAACGATGACTTGACCTTGGTGTTGAACCAATTTGGCAAGTAGACACTCACGATGAATTGGACAATAAGTCTCAGGTTGTAAAGCTGGTTCCCTTTCAGTTTATGATGAGGGACCCAAATTCTGCAGAACCTGAGAGCCGTTGTGAGCCACCTAGAATGTGAGACTGGACCTATCTGCAGGTAACCAAGTCTATCAGGCATGATCCCAGTTTTGATGGCACTGCAAATCATGTAACCATAGTACTGGTCAGTACTCAGGTCGTCAATGACAGTATGTGCAAGCTCAACGAGTGGAGGGCCAACTGTGATTTTTTCAAAGCTCGGATTTATTTCTAACTCAGTGGCAGAGTCCAGCATCTTGCCAAGAGGACCAGACCATCTGTTGTTTGAAAGAGTCTTACCATCCAGCTCCTGGATCAGATGTCTGAGTGGCAACTCGTTGGTGTGGAGGTCACAAACAATCCAGACCAGCTTCCTCCCAATCTCTTCCGCCTCTGATCCACTGTATGACCCCTTGCCACCCCTGTAGCCCACAGGTTGGTGCTGTCCCTCCAATGGCCTGCAGGGTCTGGTCTACGTTCCTCTCTCTCTGAGCCAGTCTACAATGTTATCTGCCACTATCTCAGCTGGTTTCTGATGTCATCTTTCTGGAGGAAATGCCAAATACTTCCTCCCTGGTTCACTGCAGCAGTGAGTAGTGTTCCTTCACCATGGCAGGGAACAACTTGTCAGAATCTCCAACTTTCATGAACACTTTAGTGTCATCCCTTCTCCCATCAAAGAACAAACAATTGATTCCATTTTCTCTTATCCCCTTATCAAACTCCTCTTCCAGGTTACTGACAAGTTTCTCCTGAGCTCTCCTTACTTTGTTATGATCTATCACCAGGTGAACATCATCAGGTGTTATCAAACCACCGTCAACCCAGGCAGCTGTTGCTATCTCTGCAGTTTCTCTGAGACCAGTGTGGCGTCGCATGCTGGCCAGAGCTATGCTCGGGATATCTTTCCTATTTCGAATCTTATGCCTGGAAGGTTTGGGATCATTATTTTCTGGGTTAGGGACAAAGTCACCATTATCCTGGTCAGCACTCGGATCAGCCATGGGGAAGTCATTAAACTCTGAATCAGCTTGACTCCAATCATCGGCCTTTTTTACCTCACCCTGGCCTTCTGCAAGTCTCTTTTCCCGGCAACTCCTTCTCCTCTTCTGTCTCTCTGTATGCAGCCTCCTGTCTCTGACTCGGAATATCTTGGCTAGAAATCATGAGAGCCCCTATACTGCCAGTCTCTGTGCATTGACAAACCAGTTCGATCACAGGAATCTTCAGTCACGCTTGCAAACACAGGAGATGGGCCCTCGCTGGACTTTACCTCGTCACGATCGCATCCAAACTCAGGACAGAGAACAATTAAGCACTTGTAAGTAATATGTCAAATAACTGGTCCAGTTGCTTGGCAAAGCTGTCCTTAACTGTAAGTTTTCCTCCCAAGAGAGATATCTCTGCCTTTTCCCAACTGGCTAGCAGTCTCTCACTAATCTCTTTCTGACTTGTTAAGTGACTGAGGCTTCGAACTGAGCGTTAGCCAGAGTGTACTGTGCCAAGACAGCTTTGGTCATATCACTGGCAATGTCTTTGTTTGTGTAAGTTTTTTGGTTCTTTTCACTGATTTGCCTGATTAAAACACCGTATCTCAAAGCATCTCTCAATGTAGGCAACTCCGACTTCAGGAGCTCTCTCCCAGACCCAAGATAGTGACTGAGATGGCTGGATTTTTGGTTCCTCGTCCTGAAACAAGCAGCCATCGCAAATATTATCAACTTATAAATGCATCAGAATCTGAAACAGAAAAAAATATTGTTAGTTGGGTTGTTAAAGAATGAAGTCAGAAAGCAATGTTCACTTTTAATTGTAATGCACTAATGCAGCTGTACGTTAGATTTTCGATAAATTTCACGCTAAAATTTACCTAGCAAAAGGTTGCAAAATATTGAAACTGAAATTATTTTCTGTTTATATACACTAAAATCTACCAAAGAAGTGATGGGCCATTAGTTTTAGCTGATCTTCCCTCCTATGACACACCCTAATGCGCATCATTCTAGGTTGCCCAAAATCAACCAGAATTGTAAACATGAGGAAAGAACTCGTACTGTCCTCCCTATCTGAGAGGATATCTCTACTTAATACCATGTTTTGTGTCAAAGTTTTGAAGAACAATAGTCCCCAAATTACAGCTCAAACTGAGTTGATGTTCTATCTAAGTAATCCCGACTATCTCGCTAACCTTCCACAAAAGACTCTCTTTGGGGTGTGGCTTCATAAAAGTGTAGCAGATTTCTTGAAACTGAATGTCCCAATCACCCCAGACGAACCTATTAATGCCATTCCTTCTTGGCTGGATATATCAGTTCCTATTAATTACACTCCTGTTGTTAGTAAGCAAATGTTAAACACCGATGTGATGAGATGTGTCACACTAGAAACTATTAACAGATACATAGAGAGTAATAAATCAAGTGAATGTTATGCTTTTACTGATGGTTCTGTGCAAACAAACACAGGTAGAACAGGCTGTGCCATTGTAATATATAAAGAAAAAGAGATGATAGTGTCAAACAAGCAAAAGCTGAACAACTGGGCCAGCACAACACAAACTGAACTAACTGGAATCTACTTAGCTACAGACTACCTTAAAGAAAATGGAGGTGGGGTGATATTCTGTGACTCTCAAAGTGCTTTGAAATCAATGAACAGCCCGTCAGGCTCTATGTCTAAAGTTGTATGTGATATTAAAAGGAATATGATAACTGCCAATGAGAACAACTTTCGTATCGAATTTGTGTGGATCCTGTCCCATGTTGGAATCAGGTATCATGACCGTGCTGATAGACTGGCCAATGAGGCATGTAAGAAAGAAAATGTTGACCGTGACCTTGGCCTGTCCAATGCTGTACTTAAAGACATTCAAGTCAGAATCATGAACTCTGATTTAGAAGAAGCGAGAAATGCAGAGAAACCTGGAAGTTGTAGCATTAGTAAATATGACAAATTTTGAGACAAGAGACACCGGTATGGCCAGCATAAGGACAGAACCATACAATGTGATCTAGTCGTGACCAAAATTAGGCTAGGATACAGACACATCTGGCAGGTTAGTAACGCTGTACCCATACCGGAACACTCAGCATGTAAACTTTGTGATAAACCTTTAAAGCATACACTTGAACACTATATTATTGAATGTGACACTGTCAAAGACTTCCGGTCACCTGACTTATTGTATCTTGAACTTTGTAATTACTACATTGAATCGGGGGTGCTTGAGGACATTCTTGCTGTTTATCCCAAATTTGCTAGCCCACACTGATTAGTCTTCAATTAGAATTTGACGTCCAATGTATTTGAACCACTGACCTATATATACTGCTAATGAATATGATGTATTTCTTTGTGTACGAACCTCTGTCCTCATGGCAGTGAACAGTGACATTACCCACATGAATCTGACCTATATATAGTGTCAATGAATATGATGCATTTCTTTGTGTACGAACCTCTGTCCTCATGGCAGTGAACAGTGACATTACCCACATGAATCTGACCTCGATATATATATATATATATATATATATATATATATATATATATATATATATATATATATATATATATATATATGTATATATATATATATATATATATATATATATATATATATATATATATATATATATATATATATATATATATATATATATATATTTCATTAGCCTGGCGGTTGAGGTGTTGATTATATATATATATATATATATATATATATATATATATATATATATATATATATATATATATATATAGCTGTTAATAAATATGATGTATTTCCTTGTGTATGAACCTCTGTCCTGCGTGGCAGTGAGAAGTTATACCACCCTCAGTGTCAAGACCTGACTGAATTACTCAGAATAGGCAAACTGTACTACAAGCTTTGTCAATAAATTTGTTAAACTAAAAACAGCCTAAACGTGTCAGCAAGATATATATTATTGTTGCAGCTTCCTGGTACCGCTGAGCTACATGGAAGGAGTCCACGTGGACCTTGAGTGCCTGATCTCATGGATGGTATTTAAGACAAGTGACGACTATGAGAAGCTTTTGTCTCGCTACGAGAAACTACCTGAACAGCTGAAGCAAATCCAGATGTTGATGGAGACGGGTGTGACCACAGGGAACGTCAATCACGCTATCTCAATGGTGAGTAGACGTCCTGTCTCTTTAGAACAGTACCCACTGTGTTGGGAGGATAAGTTAAGTAGTCAGTCCCTCCTTCAGTATTATCTCTTAACCCCTCCCTGTCTAGAGTAGTCTCCGGTGGTGGACTGATTAGACTTTTTTTTTCACGGAATATACTGTACACGTATACTGTATACGCTACTTTTTTAGGCGTAACTTAACTCTCCCTCAACCTAGTAAGGCAGTATTTTAGAATAGCTCTGCTTTGTTAATTATGGATTTTAATTGGGACTTTCACAGATGTGTTTATTTTAATGCAATATAATGCAAATCCCTTGATGAAGCAATGAAAAGTTTGGATGCAGCAGATGAAGTGGCAAATAGAACATTGTCTATCTCCTGAATTAAACCCTCACTGACGTCCGATTTTAACAGAATGGACCAAAATTTGGTCCGTTCATGCTAAGATTCAACAATTTCAGTGATGGTTTGTTCACATTTTTGGACCTCACGGAGACAGCGGCTAATTTGCTGCCCTTTCCTTACTCCAGTAGCTTTTGTCCTTTTAAATACAAATCAGTAATTTAATCCTTTTGATGACACCCAAATCTGATCTGAAAATATATCAACTAATCTTAGTGGTTTGATAAAACCCTTTTTGCAGTAAGAAGACAAACAGTAATAAATTTTAGAATCCTCTATAAATGAGCATAGTGAGAGTACGCATTACATTAATGACAAAGAATTTGATACATTATATAAATTTATGTATTTTCGCACTGACTGCAGTGGGAAATGTAAGGTTGTTTAAGGACTAACCAAGATTTATATTTACATTTATATAATCAATAAACATAACATTAAAGATTTTGAAAGTTGGTAAGTCAACTCCTCAAGAAACATACAAGATTAAAGAGACGTCCACCTTTGTAACAACTGATGTCTTACTGAGTATAGTCCCCAAGTCAACAAATATTTTACATGAGTTTAAACACATTAGTACTTAAGGTGTTGGTGTGGTCAAAAAGTTGTAGTTAAAACACATCAGAGACTAAGGTGTTGGTGTGGCCAGAAAAGTGTGGTGGAGGGCCTGGAAAGGTTCGTGGTGGATGTGGCGGAAGACTCGCCGCTGTGGATGCCCTTCACCACCTTCCCCGACAACTTTAATCGGGAACAGATTGCCGACTTCAAGGAGCGCGCTAATGCCATAATCCTTGACAAGGTGAGATGGAAAAGTTACTACTTTTTGTTGTTGCAATCCAAAATTATCATCGTTATTGATTGGTGTAATCTATCATCACTATTATAATAATAATTTTTATTACTATTATTAATATTATTACCTGGTATTATTATCGTTATTTTTATTATTTTTGCCCATTAGTATTACTGGTTAGTAGTGGGCGATTATGAAATTTATTTTTGCATTATTGTTGGTTCATACTGCTCATTTAGGTTTAATTTGTAATTTGTTATTTAATTCCCACATATATAGTGAAGCAAATAAATTAAGCGAGATAGTAGTGACTAGTAACGATGTTAGTAAGCAAACAGACAAGCTAAAGCCTAATAAGTGACCACGTCCCGATGAGATATTTGCCAGAGTATTAACGAAATGTAAGGGAGAGCTTAGTACTGTATGCCCTTAGGAAATTTGTTTAACATGTCATTAAAAACGTTCGTGTGTGACAAATCTATTAGCATTCTTTTCAGCTGTTATGGCTTCAGTGGACGGCGGGCACGATCATGATGTGGTATATACATCGACTTTAGGAAAGCCTTTGACAGAGTCCCAACGAAAGACGAATACGAAAAGTTGAGGCATTGAAGGAGTTATTCTAAAATGGATTAGGGCATGGTTACAGGACAGGAAACAACGAGTAAGCATTTACGGCACTTGATTCAATTAGGGTAACGTCACTCGTGGAGTTACCCCAAGGCTCAGTACTTGGACCATTACTATTTATTATATACATAAAGGATATAGATATAGGCATAGACAGCAACATAAGTAAATTTGCTGATGACACTAAAATGGGCGTTTAATTAAAGCTGACGAGGACTCCGCAAAACTACAGGAAGATCTAAAAAAAAATTTCGAATGGTCTGAAAATGGCAGATGAAATTTAATGTTGACAAATGTAAAGTACTTAGTCCAGGAGATGTAAACAGGGAAAACAGATATCAAATGAACAACGTTGTTATAGAGAAATGCGACTATGAGAAAGATTTAGGAGTACTGTAATGATAAGTTGGAATCTTAAACCACGTCAGCAATATGTATTTGCTCGAAACAAGGCTAACAAAGTACTTGGGCTCATACAAAGGAGTGTCAGTTACAAGACTAGCTAGGTTATCCTAAAACTATATCTTGCGCTTGTGAGACCTCACTTGGATTACACAGTTCAGTTCTGGTCACCGTACTACAGAATAGATATAGAATCCCTTGAAGAACTCAGAAGAGAATTACAAGACTAATCCCGGGCATTAGGAACCTTGATTAAAGAGACTGTAGAGCATCTTAATGTGCACTCCCTCGAGAGACGTAGAGTAAGGGGCGATATGATCGAGGTGTATGAATGGAAGCCAGGGCTAAATAAAGGTGATATAACGAAAGTACTCAAACTATACAACCAGGAGCGAACTCGTAACAATGGTTTTAAATTATATGTATTTATATTTAGGCGCGAGATAAGTAAACATTGGTTTGGAAATAGAGTAGTGGATTAGTGGAACAAGTTACCAAACATCATCAATAAATCGATTACGCTGGATAGCTTCAAACATAGGTACAAAGGTGTGATGGATATATGAGCCATAGGGGTTGGGTGTGAACGGGACTGCCCAGTATGATCCAATAGTCCCGCTGCAGTTACCTCTATTCTTATACTCTTGTGTTCTTATATTTACATCGTAGCAAAATGTTGATGCAACCTTATCTGCTTTATAAGATACTGTAGACCTCAACATAGAATACTGACAGCATCCCCGTTACCAAGTGGAAGAAATATTGAAGTAATTTGTATATATTAAACCTTCAATAGAATTTTTTTTCCAAGTTTACTTAACCATCACATTGTACTCTCACAAAGCATATATATATATATATATATATATATATATATATATATATATATATATATATATATATATATATATATATATATATATATATATATATATATATATATATATATATATATAAGGTGTCCGTAAAGTCCTGGTGAAGTTTAAAATATTAATAACTTAGTTCTATAAGAGATAAAAAAAAATCTGTAAAATGCATTGGAGAGATAATGTATTAGTTTTTTATGACCAAAGAAATTTATTTATTCTAATTTTTGTTCTTTCTGTTTTTCCAGATAATGTTCCCCAACATTATACGGAATGGCTTCAGTAGAAGATAAGATGAATTGTGTCCTTTGGTTAGTTGAGTTGAATTCTGTACCAGGAACATCTAGTTCCAGAGGAGCCCGTCTTAGTGATTTTCGTGGACTATTTAGAAAAGTTTTCTCTATAGACGCCACAGTCTCCTTGTTTGCTCCCGGTCTTCCAGTTCGTGGCTTGTAATTAACGGAACCTGTCTCTTTAAACTTCTTCATCCAACTCGTAATTGAATTTCTGTGTGGTTTTTCCTTCTTGTAAGGAGTCGTAAATTTTCTTCTAACCGCTGTTACAGACTTTAACTCAGCTAAGTAGAGGACATAATTTACCTTCTCTTCTATTGAATCTATTCAGTGTTGGGGCAGATTACCTGTAAAAACAGAAAGAAAAAAATTAGAATAAATAATTTTTTGGTCACTAAAAACTTGAATAAATTATCTCGCCAATGCATTTTACAGATTATTTTTTATCTCCTATAGAACCTAAGTTATAATATCTTAAACTTCACCTGGCAAGATATTGGAAGCATAATTTATTGTCTAATGGTAGACCCTGCTTTTTTTTTTTTACTGGGAGTAGCCCACCCGGGCACAGGTCAAACGACCCACAACGGGGCCTGGGGGGCGAAAAAATAAGAAAAAAAAGAAATTGAAAACAGAGAAGAAAAAGGTTATACTGTACTGTGTTAACCTACACCACGAAGATGCCGGAAAACCAGCTTTTTAAAGTGAGACAAATTGTATAAATATGGAAACACAGAAGAAGGCAGAGCATTCCACAGTTTGGCTGTGTAAAGAAAGAAGGATGTGCTATAACGAGTTATTCTCGTGTGACCGACATCCACAGAGAAACGGTGGTCACCGCGGGCAAGACGTGTGTTACAAGCCCACGGCCTTGCTGGCGGTACACAGGATGCCAAATCCACCTAACATTGCCTGTTAAAGTACCTGTAAAAGAGAGAGAGAGTGAAGCAACATTGCGGCGAAGAGAAAGGGAAGAGATATTGTTGACCAAGTCCCAGGTTGCTGATCTGACTCTCTGCCTCATTTACACACAACTGCAGGGTCTCAATGGTTTCTCTTTGACAACTCAACATACATATATCGTTTCTCACTATTGATCTTTTTTTCATTTTTGTATTTCTTTATGGTTCTTTATTAATATTATTATTATTATTATTATTATTATTATTATTATTATTATTATTATTATTATTATTATTATTATTATTATTATTATTATTATTATTATTATTATTATTATTATTTTCAGTGTTATTTTTATTGTTATTATTTATTTTTTATTTTTTATTATTTATTATAAATTCTATTTATTATGTACTAATTATTATTATTATTATAGTTGTTATTAAAATTTCGCCCCCAGGCCCCGACGTGGGTCATTTGACTTGTGCCCGGGTGGGCTCATCCCCATAAAAAAATAATATATATATATATATATATATATATATATATATATATATATATATATATATATATATATATATATATATATATATATATATATATAATAATAATAATAATAATAATAATAATAATAATAAAATATAGAACCGATTACGATTACCTTGCAAATTCATAATTATGATTACTTTTCCTTCCCAAAATAATGCAATCGATTATGATTACATTAGAAACTGTAATCACGATTCTTACGATTCCAAATTAGATAAACAGAAGAAAACAATACATAGTCATTCGTGAAAGATGTTTAATGTTGTATATTAGTGAATATTAAATACTTAAAAAATTATTGAATTCAATACGTCATAAACTAAATGCAAGAACATATAATACAAAGATAGTAACTACTTATTGACGATTTTATGCATACAAAATCATACCACATATTTTGAATTTCTTGCATTTTCTAGAATTTCTGCATGTCAGAATTAAAAGAAAATAATTTGATGCAGTAATAATTTTTTACATGTTTTACCGTAGGCTAAGAACATAAAAATGGAAGAAACTGCAGAGGGCCTATTGATCCATACAACAGCCCCGTTTACAGTCAACCCATATCACTAATAAATCTGTCCAACCTATATTTGAAGCTTCCCAGCGTGTTCAAGCTAATGATGATGTTTGATAACTTGTTCCACTCATCAAGCAGTGCAGTGTTTACCCATTTCTCACCTAAATCTAAATTTTTCTAATTTAAAACCATTGCTACGTGTTTTCTCCTGGTTAGATAGTTTAAGTACCTTTGTTTAACTCTGATCTCCATTTATACATCTCGAACATATCGCCCCTCACTCTCCGTCTCTCGAGGGAGTGCAAATTAAGATGCTTTAATCTGTTTCCATACTCGAAGTTCCTAATGCCTTTCATCCTCCTCTGAATGCTTTCTAGAAATTCAATATCCACTCTGTTTATGGTGACCAAAACGGAACCACATAATTCAAGTGAGGTCTCACATACACGAGATATAGTTTAACGATAATCTCGCTAGTCTTGTAAATAACATTCTTTGTATGAACCCAAGTACCTTGCTAGCCTAGTTTTGAACATACAGTCGAATTTCTCAATATAATTGTTGTTCGTCTAAAAGATGGTTTATTTATTTATTCCTGGGCTAAGTACTTTACATTTTCCACATTACTGCCATTTTTAAGACCCTGTAATTTTTTGGATTCCTCATCAGATTTAATTGCACGCCCTATTCTAGTGTAGTCAGAAAATTTTCTTAAGTTGCTGTCTATGCCTGTATCTATGTCATTAATGTATCTAATAAATAACAATGGTCCAAGTACTGTGCCTTGGGGTACTCCACTAGTTACGTAACCAAAATCGAATTCAGTGCCATTAATGCTCACTCTTTTTCCCGTTCAGTAACCATGCCTTTAAGCAATTTAGAATATCTCCTCCAATTCAACGAGCCTTCACTTTACGTAAAGATTAGTCTTTCGTGGGGTACCCTGTGAAAGGCTTTGCTAAAGTCAAGGTAAACCACATCATAATCGTGTCCATTTCAACTAATTCGAAAACAGTTGAAATAAATGATTATAGATTTGTCAGACATGAACGCCAACGTGTTCCCGAAGTGATTTGAATTGAGTTTGAATCTGTTCCTTTAAGTAATTTTCCTACAATTGATGTTATACTGATTGGATGATAGAGGCTAATGATGTATTTTCCTTTTTGAAGGTCACCTCTGTTAAATAAATGCAAATATTGTATTTCTAAGTATAATAACTGGAAAGTGTCTAACTATTCAGAGAGATAGATAGATAGATATAGAGCCCGTTCAAGAAAGCAATCGTAATTTAACATAAACACTGTTGCACCACAGATTTCTCCAGGGTTCCAGCAGCTGCGTGACTATGTCAAGAATGACTATGTCACTCGCCCAGATATAGCCGTGACCAGTCTACCTGACGGTGAGGCACAGTACAACCAGCTGATCAAGTTAGTTAGTATACCTTTACCTGCTTTCCTGACGGAAAGTGTATGTTGTATTATATATTGTTAAACAGTTGCCAAACATATCACTGCATTCTATATATCAGGCCCAGTAGTTATGAACCTGTTCAGGAGCGCATCATGTACTGTACTGGCATACGACAAGGCCCTCAAGTACTGCTTGCTACACATAGTCGTTTGAAAGGTTGGAAGATTGTTTCTAGGGAAAAAACTCATGAATCTGAAAATCCACTTCTTACAGAAATCCGCAAGGACACTTTCTCGGAAAACTGCCCTGCCCTAACCTAACCTAACCTAACCTAACCTAACCTAACCTAACCTAACCAAACCAAAGAAGTCTGATTACGCTCCTACGTCGAAGCGCTAAGCATCATATCCGTCAATCTGAGCTACAAGAGGCCGCTTTTCGTCGTCTATACAAACAATACTTGCTTTTGTATAATCATGGTTTGCTAACTGCAAAAGAAGGTCACCAGATGTACTGTACATTATGTAAAAAAAAAAGTATCTGCCAGGATGGGTCCGATAACTCCCGAAATGCTACATGCAACTCGTGATGTTTCGGGAGGGTTGGTATGTGTGACTCTGTGGCATTCTGAACCTACTACATTTGGTAGCCTAACATCATATTAATTATGCCAAAGTAAATACACATTGCATTACTTATGTTAATCTACTCGTTTATACCAAAGCAAACGCATATTCCAATATCTATCATCCGTGGTCTTATAATGTTTACCACAGAGCGTGGAAAGATAATTTTTTGAGATACTGTACATAAAGAAAAGGAAAGGAGATATTATTACACCTCACCACTAAACCTGAAAAATTCTCCCATGTCTATGAATGACATTCGACTTGTTTATAATGTCGAGAAATATACTAATTTGGCTCTATGATGCAGCTCTGTATTTTGGTTTGATTTTTAGAACCAGAACAACCCAGAAATCACCTCCAGGAGGTGGGTGCTTATCGAGTTCCACCCGTGCCCAATAGGGTGTGTCAATTTAGGGGGTGAACTGGCTAAATTGAAAATCGAGTAATTTGGTAGCAATTTATTGTAGTCTTTAAGCATGCAAAACAATATTCTGGCATAAATTTTTTTTTATAATAAGTCCTACCTACATCAAATGGATTTTTAAATGTACATATTTGTGAATTTATAACATAACCAGCGTTTGCACACATGTTACTGTTTCAAGTTTCAAATTACTCCCAGTATTACCCCGCCTAAGGCGGTTTCACTTAAAGCGTTTTATCATATACACCGTGCCTCGCCAGAGCTGAACTTTCACTTAACACGGATTTTTTCCACATATACGCGGTGAGTGTCCGGCTCGAGACGCTATTTTTAGATTTGCCCCACCCTGCCTGACTGCCTGTTTTAGCTCATAAAATTCATACAAATTACCCAGCCAGAATATAATTTACATTGCTGGAATTCTTATAATTTGGTGATCATTTTGAATATAAACATCATATTTTTGCATTAGACATACAAATTTTAGATAAAAAATTTTCTCAAATTAACTATGTTATCTTTTGTGCAAAATATATGACATTTATATTCAAAATATTCCTGGTCTTACAAGGAATCCAGCAATGTCAATTATATTATCCTAACTTTAGTTTGAGGTATTATTTATTAAAATTTAGTGGTTATCCCACACATCTCCTTGGGACGGTTGGTGGGGGGTGGGGGGGAGGGAGGGACCGACCGACCATCTGTTACCCTGTGAAGAATTATTTTTTTTTTTATTAACTGAAGATATTTGTTTTAGCTCATAAAATTCATACAAATTATCCGGTCTGAATATAATTTACATTGCTGGAATTCTTATAATTTGATGATCATTTTGAATATAAACATCATATTTTTGCATTAGACATACAAATTTTAGATAAAAATTTTTCTCAAATTAACTATGTTATCTTTTGTGCAAAATATATGACATTTATATTCAAAATATTCCTGGTCTTACAAGGAATCCAGCAATGTCAATTATATTATCCTAACTTTAATCTGAGGTATTATTTAATACTAAATGTTAAAAACCCTGGAAGGGAGGATTGGTGGGGGGTGGGGGGGAGGGTTGGGACTGACCGCGCGGTTGGAAGAGGGGGGGAGGCAAGGTGGGGTACTTTGATTGACAGATAGTGTTGTGAAGATTATTTTTTTTTTTATTAACTGAAGATATTTGTTTTAGCTCATAAAATTCATACAAATTACCCGGTCAGAATATAATTTACATTGCTGGAATTCTTATAATTTGGTGATCATTTTGAATATAAACATCATATATTTTTCATTAAACATACAAATTTTAGATAAAAATTTTTCTCTAGGTAACTATGTTATCTTTTGTGCAAAATATATGACATTTATATTCAAAATATTCCTGGTCTTACAAGGAATCCAGCAATGTCAATTGTATTATCCTAACTTTAGTTTGAGGTATTATTTATTAAAATTTAGTGGTTTTCCCCCAAAAATTTCTCTGAGAGGGAAGAGCCAGCGAGTGTAGTGTGAGAGAGGGAGGGAGTTGAGTCCATTATTTGAATGGACATTAACTTGGCGACTGTATTTCTCTTAAGTATTAATTGTGTGCATGTACCATCATAAAATTAAGATGTTATTTTTACTACAACATAGGTATGTGCCTTCAAAAAGTGGAGTTTGGGGGTCAGGCCGGTTTCTATTGGAATTAATCCCATATGTTCTGTTGTTCACTTAACGCGGATTTCACTTAACGCGGGACGCTCTGGGTTCAATTGACCGCGTTAAGTGGGGTACAACTTATATTTTATTATCCTTAGTCTATTTGAAAGTAACCAATGCCTTCATACTCTCTTTGCTTTGGTTTCTTGTCATCAGTAGTCTGCTTGGTATTTGTGCTTTGATGTAACCTTCTCGCCTCTCGTGGCTGTAAACATGGCCCTCTGCTTCTGTGACCATTTTCACACATCTCTCCACACTTTGAGTGTGGGAAGGCCACTTCGGCACCTGCATTGGAGTCTCTTTAAGGTTTCTCAATTCTTGGCTAGTTAGACTTGTTGTCAATGGTGGCTCTAAGACTTCCAAACTCAAGTCAACCAATTCTGACAATTTGGTGGCATTGACGTTTATTGGGGGAACTTTTCTTGAATGAAACGAACAGTCTCCCAACTGGTCGTCATCTATTAGCGTTCCTCTAATCTTTAGAATGACTTCTACAGCCTCGGTTCGGAGATTGGTACATTGACTGCAAAGCATTGCTTGCAAAACTGCTTCTGATCGAGCATACCAAGCGGACCTTCTTGCCACAGGTAACACGATGTCCCTCACTACCTTCCTCTGTGTTCTTACTAGCTGCAATTGAAACAAAAGGTGATTGGGCCCATCCACCCACATAGGATTAAGTTTCACACTAAACCACTGGGGAAGATAAACTCCAATAATAAATTCAACAATTAACCTCAAATTCTTCAGCACTTTGCCCTTCAATTCGTGTTTGGAAATCCAAATCCTGCAGAAACGAAGAGCTGTAGTTAACCAACGGCTGTGACTGACAGGTCCAATCTCCAAGAGAGCCAATGACTGAGGCACTTCTCCTGATCTTATTGCTTGGGCAATACGATAAGCATAGGATTGATCTGTGCTGAGATCTTTGATGACTCCTTCAGACAACGCCGGAAGGGGAGGGCCAACTTCGACCTTTGGAAAGGTTGTATTTATTTCTAGTTGTGTTGCTTCATCCAGCATGATGCCAAGGGGACCTGACCACTTGTTGTTGCTCTTTGTAGGACCATCAAGTTCCTGGATGAGATGACGAAGAGGTAGCTCGCCTGTATGTAAATCACATACAATCCAAACAAGTCTTCTTCCTAGTTTTTTCTCTAAATGCGTCATTACACCCCCCTGCCATCCGGTGTTCACTGCAGTTGAATCTCCACCAACAGCCTGCAGTGAACTGCCAAGTCCTCTCTCCTGAACCCAACATAAAATATGATCAGCAATGACCTCTGCATGTTTCTTCCCTTCTACTTCAGTTTCGGGAGCAAAGTGAAACAAAAACCGACCACCAGGCTCAGAACAGACAGAGTAGTGTTCTTCTTTGATGAGACCTGGAAACTTTCTGTTCACTCCCTCTACTTCTAGCAAAACTTTTGTGTCATCTATTCTTCCATCAAACAAAAGACAGGAGAGCCCTCCCTCGCTTAAATCTTTTTCATGCTGATCAGATATTTCCTTCATTATTTTTTCTTGTGCTCTTCTAATTTTATTCTGATCTATCACCAAAGATACATCCTCTCGGCTGATGAGGCCTGCATCTATCCAAGCGGCAGTTGCAATTTCTGCAGCCTCACGAAGTCCAGCATGGTGGCGAATACTAGCTAAAGCAATGTTTGAAATATTTCTTGTGTTGTATTTCATTTTCTTTGGTAAAGGTTCAGATGGCTCTTTGGAACTATCATCTGATGTTGCTTCCTGTTCATCAGAAGAACTATCAAAGAAGTGATAAACATCTTGACACAGCTCTTCCTCTCTTTGGATGGCTTCTTCACTCTTCATTTTCTTCTTTTGTTCCCTCTCTCGGATTTGTTCTCTCTTCTTGGCATTAGCAATCTGCTTCTTTGTTTCTGAATAATCTATTGAACCCATTTGCATACTTCCTTGGCCTTCTGCCTTTGTCCTCTGTGCCTTTATAAATTCAAGCTCTAAAACAGGGATCTTCTTTTCACGAGGACAACCACAATCAATGTGGGAATTATTTTCTCTCTTACCTGAGTGAGAACAGTTGGATTCAGAACATAATTGTATGGAGCACTTGCAGGTCAAAATGTCAAACAGAGTATCAAGTGTGTGCAGAAATTCATTTTTCCTGGCCAAGTTTCCTTTACCAAGTGATGTTTCAACTGCTTTGTGCCATAATTTCGTTAGTTTTAGCTCAATAGTTCGACACTGATTAATCACAGGTGGTTTGAATAGTGCATTAGCTTTTGTC